GCTAAGCAGGTTTGGGAATCAACTTTTGGGATTAACGCGCTGGCGTTAATTACATCTTTTGAATGATGTTTCTGTATTTATCTTTTGAACGTGTAATGAATACAATTATGTAAACATCTTGGAAACTTTATTTATATATGGTGGTGTGTACTTTCCTTTCTATGAACTGTTATGATACTGAATATGACGTCCTCCGCCCTCGAACGTTTCCGCCGTTCTGGTTTGGGGTGTGACACCTCTCCCTCTCAACCCGTGGGACATAACGGGTACTGAACATCTCCCGGAATTGATCCCATGTAACCGCAGCCTGTTGTGCATCCGAATAAGATCCTATTGTCAACCTCTACCAATCCTTCACTCCGAGCCTCTAAAGGTTCAGAGCACACCTCACTCTCTGATCCGCAGGGCATGAACACGTAAAGAAACACCCCTCCATATCCGAAAACCACCTCATAGCAATGATCGGATCCTGATTCCCATCAAAAGTAGGGGGCTTCATATTATCGAAGTCCCAATACTGAAAACACCGACCGGCTCCTCCACCTGTCGCTGCTATAGCCGCTGCAGCTGCCGCGGAAGCCGTTTCTGCAAGAGCCGCATAGCACTCATCAAAGTACTCAACCATGTTGATCTTGATCGACCCAAACATCTCCGGCATCTCCACCGTGAACATAGAAGCAATCTCATCATGCAGGATCTCACGAATCCTGACATCCAACTCATCCTACTTATCTGACTAATGACCTCGGGTGGTGTTGATCTACCCTGACCACCCACTCCTGATCCCGATCCTGACCCGGATCCAGCCCCAGCATGCCTCGTAACCACCATACTGAAAATACACCGCAAGAAAATCAGATGCTTCCCCAGCAACCCGGGAACCGACTCCTAACCCGACCCTAGGGGTTGTGACTTCCTTGATACACGTATGGGTCTTGTGCTTTCAGTAGTACGGGCCCACACTACCTTCCACACCTACCCATAGTTATATCAGGTATCACCACAACACCCTAGCAATAAACATATACATGGCAACACTCAATCCTCACCTATAGAGGAACTGCTAACCACCTCACAAAACAGGGAACCTTAGGCTAGCATGCATCATATAATCAGACAATTCTATTATGTAATTCCTGAAGATCCCTAGCCTAGTACTAGTATATTGTTCTAACATTTCACATAATCCAATAACTTGTATGGTATTTGGGGTCTACTTACTGGCTCTGGCTGATCGTACCTCCGCATCCTCCTCTACTTATTTTTGAAAACCATTTCAATTTCACTTTAAAAACTCTCCTTGATTTAAGACTGGATTCACACGAATGTTCCTCCAATTCACTCAAAACCATTAAGTTCATACATTTGTTTTCAAAATATTTTAAACATAAAAGTATTTCCCAAAACCATATCACATAAGTCATAAAACATGAGGAGCGGTACGATCACGCCTTCGCCTTACAACGATCTCCTGAAGTACCTGAAACAATACACTAAAACTGTAAGCCCGAAAGCTTAGTGAGTTACCCCCAAAATACCAACCATAATACCATACACATATCATATCATATCATAAACAGAACAGCCATGAATATCGAGTCTACAGTGTGACTGGTCCGCCTGCATCAAGCCTTCAGTCCACCTGGTCCACTATCTGAGTCTACAATGTGACTGGTCCCCCCGCACCAGGCCTTTAGTCTGTCTGGTCTACTCTACGAGCCTCGGCATGTCTGGTCTGCCCTCTTGGGGCCTTCAGCCTATCCGGACCGCTCGTCGGGCCTTCGGTCTAACCGGTCCGACCTGCGTATGTTCGCCTACAATACAAAGTAGGACCTACCTCAAGCCAACCCCAGTCTAACAACCATGTGCACATAAACATATAATCATATAGCAGTTCACAACTAATCAACCGATCTAGTAGATCAGATAACATAGCAACATCCTTACCAGGATACCGACCTAACCAGTCACTAACATAGCATCATCCTATATACAAGGATATCAAACTTAACCAGGTGTCTAACATATACCATCCTAACTACCAGACATAGCAAAGCAATAACATAAAAAACAACTACCCGGATTCCCATCCGATAAAGGGCCGCCCTTGGTGTCATAGACCCTATCGATATAGTGAGGATAACTCACCTGCAACTACCGAATCGAAGAAATAAGACCACGCTGCTCCGACCACCAGCACGAACTCCACCACTCATCATTACCAAATAACTAAAACCAATAAACACCAATAATTACCAAAATACCCTTAGAAATCAAACTGGTCAACCCTTGGTCCAAGTCAAAGTCCTCAGTCAAAGTCAACCTTCCTGGTTGACCCTACTCGCCGAGTCAAACCGTTGACTTGTCGAGTTCCTATGCTCAGAAACTCCCATGCCACGACTCAACTCGCCGAGTCACCCCAAGACTCATCGAGTCCAACAAGCTCTGAGTCCCTTCCTGCTCAACTCACTGAGTCATCCCTCGACTCACCGATTCACAGCACAACCAGAAAGGTTAGGACTTCACGACTAGACTCGGCGAGTCCAAGAACAGACTCGTCGAGTCTAAGGCAATCTTCAACAGACTCGCCAAGTTGTTCTTCCAACTCGCCGAGTCCAAGCTCATCATCATACTCCTCGTCGAGTCATTCATGCGACTCCCCAAGTTACAATGCGACTCAAAGTCTGATCCTTAGCCCGACTCGTCGAGTCATCTCCTAGACTCGCCGAGTCCATTCGTGACATCTTCATTCAGACGATCACAGGCCATTCCATTGCTTCCAATACATAGATCTGGACTCCTAAGGCCAGATTCATACGTAAAGTTTCCAACGTTACGTGCATGCAAGGCTTAACAAGCTCCATCAAGCTAAAAATGAAGGTTTAAGGCAAGGACACTCTCAATCACGCCCCAAAGCTATCACTTTCTGATCTCATGGCTCCAAACCAACCTAGATCAGAAGTTGCAACCTCATATCTAGTCTTTATACCCGAAATAGATCCCAACCATGTTAAAGAACCCCAAATCACACACCATGGATGAAATAACAAGGAAATAGCTTAAATAAGGTCCTCTTACCTTTAAGATGAGTCTAAAATGATGTAGACTGTAGATCCATAAGCTCTCTTGATGCTATCCTCAAATTCCTCCAACTTCTCTTCACCAATTTCTTCTTCCAAGCTTCAATCTTTTCAACAATGGAGTCTCTCACGATTTAGGGTTTCTCTGGAACACTCAGGGAAGATAGAGAGTGAAATGAAGGCATATTTTTCTTTAAATAGGGTGCAAACCATAGGAATTAGGGTTTCTCATTCCAGCACGGACTTGTCGAGTCCAGCCTCCGACTCGGCGAGTCTAGTAACTTAACATGTGCCCGACACACGCTTAGACTCGATGAGTTGCAACTCCCACTCGCCGAGTTCCTCTTTTCCAAACTTACACTTTGCCCCCTGAACTCTTGATTCTGACTTCGGATGTTACAAACATCTAACACATTTATAAAAGAAATTGGGTTTTTAAGCTTAATCTATACCGATCGAACACCAATAGATTCCGTTGTTGAAAATCACAGAGGAAATTAACTTTTCGAAATGTATTTGGAGGTTTATGAATAAATAGAAAGATTAAAGAGAATTCAAATTAAGAAACACTGATTTGGTTACTTATTGATCGGCTTCACTTAGCATTATTGGTATTATGGAGGAAGAGAATTCAAATTTTGAAAGCCCTAAAATTAAGATGATGATTTTATGGGATTTGATATAATCTGTGTTATGGAGAGAAACGTAACAATAGAAGATGAACAAAAATTTCTAAATGAGATTTTTGAAATAGGCACACCCTGCATAATAGTGTAAACATTGAAAATAATATCAGTGTTGTCTTTCTTTTTCTTCTTCCTCCAAATTGGAACAAAACATATTAACATAGGATTCTAGGTTTTTGTTTATCAACTTCCAAAGTTTCCAAATCCGATCTTAGTTATCAAAGTTATGGTTGTTCATATATTAGAATCAAAAGCTGATTGTAAAGATCGTTTTATCAAGAAGGAAGTAGACAAACAGATCCTACCAAGGAAGTAGAACCAATGTTGTTAACGGGACGATCTAACCGAAGAAAATGAGCCACATCCTTCACTTTCTTCCTCAAGTCCAGAAATAGTAGACAATTATGCAACACCCAAAACCAAAACCCATGGTTAAATCATCTAGCGGAAGATGAGCTGAGCTGTGATTTCTATGATTTCTAAAGAAAAGTAGATGAGAATCGAATGTTTATTTTAAATTTGAATAGTATCTAGTTTCCAAAATTAAGAATGCCAAATTGGTGGAAATAGAGGCGTGATTCATTTTAGAGAATAAATGGATGAATGGACAACCTGTAGGGGTTTTAAAAGCTGAAGGGTAAAATAGGTACTTTACATTCAAATTTTGATAGATGGAGAAGATGCCACCTAGAATAAAAAGAGTGTTTGATTAGAATAGGGGATGTAAGAATATTATAGCTTTTATATTTATATTTAGTGTTTTCGTGTTTTTTTTAATATTTGGTATTTGTTATTGTAATCATTTGTGTAAAATGATTTTCTAATTAAATCACAAATAAACTGGGTAAGTTCTGATTACCCGATGTAGGAAGCCACAAGATGAGGATATGTAGTTTCGGCTATTGTACCAATATCAAAATCTACATTGTTCTTTCTACCAAGTTATCTGCCTAAATGCATTGACTTTGACTTTCAAGTCAATCAATTCCATTTTCCAATTCAAAATTATTTTTATGGATTAGTTTTTCGGGTTTTCACCATACTTTTCTGATTCTTGCATTACTTATAAATGTTAGTAAAAAAATCAAAAATCATCTAAAAAATATGCACATCAGTTACCTTGAAATTATTTTCCCTTGTTTACACCTGATCAACATTCATTGTATCGAGCAACTTGCATTGATTATACACCTTGACTTTTGGGTAAAACAAATTTAGTTTCTGATAATTGATCTGGATTTCTTTCAAAATGGCACACGTTCTTTTTGTTTCTAGCATATGTCAAAAAATTTCATCCTAAAATATCCAAATGGTTTACATAATTTTTGAATCCAAACTAAAAATCTCCAGATCTTTCCAACCATAATTTTTTGTCATTCTGGATTGTTCCAGATTTCTCATTGACGCTGCTATAAAAACAAACTCTTAAATTTTAGCTCTCTCTTGCGTTAGGATATATCTATTTATTTTTAAATGATGGATTGTAAAATTAAAATAATAGTTTGAGTTTCTAACTTTCTATCAACATAACAATTGTAACTTTGAAACAGATAAAATCCCTGTTTTCCCCTAGATGACACTGTTATCTCGCCAATTTCCAACTGTCCTTATGAAATTTTGTGAAGCTCCTTTTCAATGAAAGTAACTAGCTCCAAACGAGTATCACGTAGATGTGATATTTTTAAAATGTGTTGGCAATATTGAGGCCATTCAACCAAACGTTCCAAAAACTTCTCCAGAGCAATTGTACCAAAACTAAACATCTACATACAAGCATTTTCCATCGTTAGAAAAAAATAAATAAATAAATCCTTTGGATTACTTTAGCAACAAATCAGAAGAAAGTTAGAACTAACTTTAGAATCAGCTGGTTTGCGCAATGCATCCAAAACAGAACGTAAGGCAATACCAAGTGTAAGATGGGTCAAAAGTTTATTTTTGATAAGCAATCCTGCAATTTCAAATTTAACAAAACCATATTGCATGAGTTTTAATGATAAAGTAATGAATAATAATATTGGCACAACAAATTTTATGGTAAATAATTACATTAATTGCTATTTGTATTTCGGAAATTGAAATCTTACGAGGCCTTACCAAAGAGATCAGCAACAGCTTTCAGTTGACTCTCGGGGTATTTGTTGAAAAACTTGTGCTCTTCAAATAAGTTTGCAATCACACACTCAAATATTGATTGTTCCCTGAGAGGTAACACCACATCAAAACATAAGTACTAAATCAAGCATAAATCTATAATGGACATTTACTAGCTATTTCAAATAAAATTATCCAAAAGCAACTCTATGTTGTAAAGCGCAAAATGAATTTTAATTCTTAGTAGATATACTCTGAAGAAAGATAAAGGAGTTTTCAAGAGCTAAGCAGCATGTCTCTAATAAAGCATTGTTAAATTAACGACTACAATGTTAAATATGAGCACATTCTCCTTGAAGGCTAAGGGGCTGATAGGTAAATCTTAAATGTTGAACGGAATGATTCCAACCTTTTAATGGCTAAAAGAAGGTAAGACAGCTTAACCGTTCAAAAGCAGTAGCAAAAAATTTGATTCATTCAGAGGTAACGTCTTAATTGAAACATTAAGATCATTATCAGAGAGCCTATAACTCAATTGAACCATTAAGATGATTCCAACCTTAATTGAATCATTCAGTTACAAATATTTGTCCAACAACTTTTCCTCACAAACTAATAAATAAAAAAAAATACTGATGCTATAAAATCTAAAATGATTAAAGGCTTGGACCCATCCTTCAGCACCCACTTCACTAAAGTTTATATGAAACCAGTTATAGTTAAAATGTTAAAGAAGGTAAGATTATAAGAGAAAGAGTGAAGACTCCAAAAACAAGGAGGCTATTCACCGATTTAAGAATAGCCATGGTAAACATGCCTAAAGTTCTTGATCCAAAAAACTGAGATACTTTTAGAAGATCCTTACACATACACTATTTGAACTAAAGCTGCAAAACTGTTGTTTTCAAAAGGAGATCATTTGTTAGACATATTCTGCTCACTTAATCACATTACATGATCTAGAAACGAATATCAATATATAACTGCGAAAATGAAGAACCTGAGCACTTAAAACTACAAACCACTGTAAAAAGAGATAGATAATGGTAGTAGTAAAAACAATAAAGAATTTACAACTAATAACCTTTTTTCAGAAGATTCCTTGTATCGGGCTAGCATCTGAATCATTGCATCAACAGTTAACTGACCAGAGAACATTTGATGGAAATAAGAATTGACCTCTGCCTCTATATCATCTTCAAATGGTTTTGATGTTGACAAACCAGGACCACCATCATTCTTTAAACTTAATGTATTTAACTGGTCGACCTAAAAAAAAAGTTTTAACAGCTCTACCATGATCATCATTGATTATTTTCTCTTTTCTAGAGTTTATGAAGTTGTATAGTAATGCACTTTCTATTAGAATCAAAAGATATTATTAAGATAATTACTAAAAAGATGCAAATACAATGGAAAAATACAACTTACTTGATAATCAAGCGCACTTTCGAGTGTTCTCACAACATCAGTCATTAATGGACGATCTTCCAAGTTTCTCTTCAAACACCGATAAGCTATTGTTATAAAGGCCTCTAAAGATTTAGGTTTTATCCCATCCCTTATACTATGAAAAACAATTTCGTTTATTGTCTTTTCTTTGTAGCATCGTCGCACCAATCCTGTTAGTGGTTGATGTATGTCCTTCTTGTTGATAGTACACAACCTCCCACATAGCACCTCAAACAACACTACACCAAAGGCATGAACGTCTGACTCTTTAGTTAATAATCCTGTCTCTACATATATCGGATCACAATACCCAATCGTGCCTACAGTGTTGGAGACTTAGAGATCTTGGCATTCCAATTATCATCTAATAGGATGTTTGAACTCTTGATATCACGATGCAATGCTCGTTGTTGAGTCCCACCAGGATTATGAAGATATGCTAGTCCACGAGCTGCCCCGATGCAGATCTTAAGCCTCTCGATCCAAGTTAGATCATCATCATTGAGATACAAGTCGAGACTTCGCTTCGATGCGTACTCATACACCAGGATCTTTTCGTTACCTTCGTCGCAAAATCCTAATAAAGAAACAATATTTTCATGTTTGTAAAGAGAAAGCATAATGATTTCCTTCCAAAACTCTGGGTTTCCTTGTCCAAATGTAGGATCTAATCGTTTTAAGGCAACAATGGATTCCCCTTTGGAATGGAGAAGCTTTCCCTTGTAAACTTTCCCGAATCCACCTCTCCCGATGCAGTTGTCATCAGCGAAGTTATTGGTTGCAGATGTTATCACTTCCAACTTTATCTTGAGGTGTTCAAACTGTTTTGAAAGATGCAGATGGTTGATCTAAAATAGGAAACAAAGTAAGGAGCTTCAAAGGATTCTAGCGTGATGTAAATAGGAAATGTTATATATGAATGAAAAAAGGCATCAAAGCAAAGTACAAAGCAAGAAAGACCAAACCAAAAAACCCAAACTCTGAATTACATATGCCAGGAAAATGCTCAGAGCATCAAAAACGAAGTACAAGTCAACGATTGATAAGAATGATTTAGACAGAAAAAAATGTAACATTCAATAATTAACCAGATCTCTCACATACGAACCAATACATGAATCAGTTAATCAAAGCGATAAACTAGATCCTAGTCAACCAATAAGAACTCACGGAGAGGATTTTCTGAGTTTCTTGTTGAGTACGATAACACTGTTCTCTTCTTTTTATATTCACAGCATATACAAGACTCATCCTTGCAACTTCAGTTTTTGCTCCTTCAGCCCCTCGTGCAGACTGCTTTCCATTTTAGCAAATCATCTATCCCAGAACGATTTTTACAATTTTATTCATTACATTTTAACTGCGCTTTCACAGTAACAAAAACATTTAACCAAAATATATATTTATTATCTTATAAAACAAATTCCACTATTTCTAAAAATAGATCGAATAAAATAATAATATTTTTTTAAAACGTCCAGATCAGAAAAATAGATTGAATAAAATAATAATATTTTTTTAAAACGTCTAAATCATTAAGCTAAATGTACAACTAATCACTAATAAAATAATACTAAAATTTAAACAAACTCCTATAAATCTTCTCTTCCAAGATTTTGACCAGATCTTTTTTCATCCAAATAAATACTCAACACCCTATAATTGCTCATTTCATTAATTTTCTTTATTTTTAATATAACAGGTTTCCTAAAACAAACTAATGTTTGAATTAAAAATAATCATTATCTATCGAAAACAAATTAATTGTCGAAACAAACTATTTTTCATCCGCCGCTTTGCGCTGGTAAACAGCTTATATATATATATATATATATATATATATATATATATATATATATATATATATATATATATATATATATATATATATATGAACTTTAGGTTGCAAGTACTTTAGATCTAACTTTTAACATTATTACCAGGGTGTTTGGGATTGTTTTATAGCCAAAAAAAAAGTCATTTTCAACAAAATGAACTTTTAAAATGTGTTTGGATTTACTTTTGAAAGAGTGAAGGCAAAAAACTCAAATGTTACCAAAAGTCACAAATTCATGACTTTTAAAACTATTTCTTTTTCTTCTTGTCAAAAAAACGTTTTAAAAGGACTTATAGATTTGTCAAACACCTTTTCAAACTTTTAGCTTTTTTAAAAAACCAAAAGTCCAAAAAGTTATTTTGAAAAGAATCCCAAACACCCTCTACATGTCGAGTATCAGCAGCAGCAGGAGATACAACAATCCAACATTAATGAGGTTGACTAAACTTAACTGATAACTGTATTGTTAAGAATATGATCTTTTTATTTGTTGATTTGTTTAGAACTAGGACTACAAATATATAATTTATTTCTAAACTAATATTTAATTTCACGTATATCAACGATGAGACTTGAACCTCCACGTCTTGTTAAAAATAAAGTAGCATCAACTTGTTTTTATTGGTTAATTTGAATAGTAAAATATAAAATTTTAATTCCCAACTAATAACTTTTCGGAAAACCTCATAATAACCCCATGTATTATACTCCAATGCTTAAAAAAACATGTATAATTTTTTTGTATGAATTAACCATTATGCTTTCTAACTTCGATTATTTTCATGCTTTGTGACCGGTTAGCCCAAAGCTACTGGTAACCTTGGAATCACTGTATACTATGGTTGTGTATGAGGTAGCTATAACAGGTAAGTGTTTATGTTGGGTGTTTGGAGGTCCGATGAAGGTTACGGTGATGGTGATATAAGTGTTGACTGGTGGTTTACAATGAAACAAAAGGTGATAAAGGGTGGTTATATCATGTAACATCCCATAATAGCAAGAGTAGAGTTGAAGGACTAAAAGTGTAAATTTTGAAGGGCAACTCGGTGAGTCCATGGATGGATTCGGCGAGTAGGGTCGCGACTTTGGTCGCGAGTCAAGTGGCATACTCGACGAGTCCAAAGATGGACTCGGCGAGTTGGTGCTGAGTGGAGAAAACCCTAAATCCGGGGAATGAGCCCTATTTAAAGAACATTATATCCTCTCCCCAGCCTCTTTGATCCCCCTTGAAGTCCAGAAACCCTAGAAAGCATGATTGTGGAAGATTGGAGTGCATTTGGAGCTTGGGGAGGTGTTTGTTGAAGAAATCTTGAAGGAAAAGAGGCTTGGATCAAAGGGCTTTGCTTGGATTCGAGTTTCATTGCAGTTGGGGCATTCTTTTGAGGTAATATCTCGTTATTGGGCTATCACTCATATGGATTCATCATTTTGGGGTTTATGGGGAGCTTATATTTGTATGTTTTAGAGTTTGGAAGTTAGATCTGAGGTTGCTACCTCAGATCTGGGATGGGGAAGGCCTAGAGAGCATTAAAGTCCCTGTGTTGAGTGCTTAGTGAAGCCATCATGTTCCAAACCCTAGCTCTAAAGTGAATAAGGCCTAGATCTCTTTGGATTCACGTAAAGTTTGCCACTTTACGTGATGGATGGATTATAGGAGGCTAGATCTATGTTTTGGATCAATTGCATGGCCTGGAATGCTTCTGTATGGATTCAGACCGGTGGTACTCGGCGAGTCACATGGGTGGACTCGATGAGTTGCTTGAAGATGAGCTAGAACTCGACGAGTTGGATGAACAACTCGGCGAGTAGGTTGAAGATAGCCTTAGACTCGGCGAGTCTGTTCTTGGACTCGGCGAGTCTTGTCGAAGAGTCCCAATATTTTCTGGTTGAGTCGAGAATCGGTGAGTCAAGGGGATGACTCGGTGAGTTGGGTGCGAGTGGACTCAGAGTTGTTGGACTCGGTGAGTCTCGGGGTGACTCGGTGACTTGGGTCGCGGATTGAGGGAAGTTCTGAGCATAGGGACTCAGTGAGTCATCGGGTTGACTCGGCGAGTAGAGTCAGTCGGAGGTTGACTTTGACTTTGTCCAAGGCTGACCAGTTGTCTTCCAGGGGTATTTTGGTAATTAAGGGTATATATTAAGTTGAGTGTTTTGGTGTTCAGTGGAGGAGTTTGTGTCAGAGTTTGGAGCAGCGTGATGTTATCCTTTCAGCCGACAGTTTCGAGGTGAGTTATCCTCACTATATCGACAGGGTCTAAGGCACCAAGGCCGGCCCTTTATTGGATTATGATTCGGATATGGTTATCATGTTATTGCTTGATATGTCTGCATCCTGGTAGCTAGGATGATATATGCTAGAGATCTGGTTAAGGTCGGTTTCCTGATATGTAGAGTGATGCTATGCTAGTGACCGGTTAGGTCGGTAACCTGGTTAGGGTAATGATATGTTATGTGATCTGCTTGATCGGTTTGTTGACTATGACTATTCTATGATTGTATGTTATGTGCATATGGACTGTAGATGGGTTGAGGCGAGTCCTGCTTTGTGCTGTAGGCCAAGATACCCAGGGCGGACCGGTTGTTCCGAAGGCCCAGCGAGCGGTCCGGATAGGCTGTAGGCCCTACGAGGGCGGACCAGACGTACCGAGGCTCAGAGAGTGGACCAGGCCGACTGAAGGCCCGATGCGGGTGGACCAGTCATACTGTAGACTCAGAGAGTGGACCAGGTGGGTTGAAGGCCCGGTGCGGGCGAACCAACCACACTGTAGACTCGAAGGACATGACTAGACTCGGAGGGTGGATCCGGTGGACTGAAGGCCCGATACGGCGGACCAGTCCCACAGTAGACCCGATATGCATGGCTGTTTTGTGATTCGTTATGAGATAGCATGTTATGTGTATGGTATATGTGGTTGGTATTTTGGGGGTATCTCACTAAGCTTTCAGGCTTATAGTTGTGGTTTAATGTTTTTCAGGTTCTTCAGGAGACTGTGGCAAGGCGAAGGCGTGATCGTACCGCTCCTCATGATTTTGTAGCAATGTGATTCTGGGAATACTCTAAATGATTTGTATTGAAAACCTTTTTGTAATAATTTAATGAAATCGGGTTGTTTTTGAAAAATTTAAATTGGTTGGATTTTTCGGTCGTTACATATCACGTTTGTTTAGAGGCAGTAAACGTGGTTGATATAAGGTGGGTAAAATGGAGGTATAAGGTGGTGAGTTTATGAGGAAGACGATAAATAGTACTCAGTGTTACATTTTCTTCATGCAGGAGGTTTTAAGGTTGTTTGATGGAAGTGGTTTACCTGTTCTAGGGTGATAACACGTGAAGGGTTTGAAGTAACATAAGGTGTAAGGTGGTTGTGATGAGGTTTTAAGAAGAAGATGGTGAATAGTAATAGGTGTTCAATTTTTTTGTTCCAAAAACCATCATTATCGAGACCTTAAGCCATTTGTTGCTCGGTTTTCAATTTCCAGCATCCACCATCGAGATTTAAAGTAGAAGAATCAAGATATAAGGACAATGTTCATCGTCCCATCGAGAACCTGCAACCCAACAAAAAAAATCTTGATTTTTTTTGAGTTTTTTCCTGCAAGGTTTTGTATCTACTTCCATCGCTAAAAATGTGTGTTTATCGACAACCTCAAAGAAAAAACACAGTTTGAATTTTTCTTGTTCTCTTTTTCTTGATTCTCGATGAAGGTGGTGGCAGTTTGTTTTAGATGGTAGAAAGTGGTAGAGATGGTGGCTTCGATGGCAGCAATATGTGGTTTCGATGGTGGTGAACCGGTGGTGAGGTGGGTACGGTTTTAATGGTGATGGCAAGCTCGATCGGTAAAGATGGAACATGTCTTGGGTCTCGGCTGTGAAGACGAAGCAGCAGGTGAAGATCTTGGGTTGGATTGAAACGAACACTACAAGAAGATTGGGCAACAGCAGCGACACGTGTCGTCGCTAAAGGTTAGGCGTGTCGCCGCTAGTACCTTTAGCAGCGACCTGTCGCTGCAAATGTGTCGCCGGTATTGTTTCGTCGCTAATACGCTTAATGTCGCCGCTAATACTCACAGTCGCCGCTAATACAACGCGTCGTCGCTAATGCTACCCATCGCTGCTAATAGGTTGTCGCCGCTAATACCATACTGTCGCCACAAAAGCTGTCGCCGCTGATACTCTTTTGATTTTTTTTTTGTGTTTATTTATTTAACATTAAATTTATAATCAATCCAAATATTAATCCATATAGCATTTGAAAAATCTGATAAGCTTTCATAGAAATATTAATACATATTATACAATCAATCCAAAATATTAATCCATACCACATTAAGTATTCTTCCAAATTACAAAAACGTTTCATAAAATCCTAAAATAACTACTCGTCCTCATCATCATCTCCTTCATTATTTGGTG